TGAGCTATTTTTGAACTTGAAGGATTTTTCAACGTTTTAGATCCTTCAAGTATTTTCAATTTTTCACCCGCAAAATTTTCTTCTAAAAATTAAAAAGTACATTTTCTTAATCAGCTTGAAATGCTCTATCCAATGATGTAATAAGTTCAAAAATAAAACTTTGCTGTAATTTTGCATTGTGCACATCTTATAAAAGAAGTTTATAGTTCTAAATATCCGTGATCGGTATATTTACAACAACAAAATGATTGCAAATCGTATTTTTCATATAAAAGGATGGGTTTATGCATTGAAAGAAATTTAAATCAAGACTTAGGTAGAACAAGAGCTGGCATTTCTAATATAAAGAGAAAGCTAAAACATAAACACAAATTGTTCATATAAAAATTGAGTTTTTATGATAGATTGTGGAATAACTTTTTGTGATACATTAATTAATTTATTTATCGAGGATTGTAATATACAATAAACGTTTTCTCTCTCTACATATCAGAGGCAAACAGCAAATAGAGTAGCACAAGAAGTAAAAGTTAAGTGAATCTTTTAGTGTCAGCTATGTACTTATGGACATTATTTACGATAAGGATGTTTTGTTCTGGGGAAAGATTAATTGATCCTTTTAGAATTAGTTCAGTAGTTTGTGGTAATGCGGCAATCAATTTTATATTATTCAACAAGATAGATCTTTCATAGACATAGCGAAGGCATTTTAAAAAGTAATGCTCAGCTGTTTCGGGCTTATTACAATCACTACAATTTGGTGTCGCAACGAAGTGACGTTTATATTGGTCTGCTAATATAAAGCTGAAGCCTGGGCGTATGCGGGTTAGATGGATGATATTTATCCGACTTCCTGTATTGTACCAAACTGGCGGCTGGAAATTTTTCAGTTTTATAGAGAAGTTCTCATTATCTGTGATGTATCGCATTTCATAGGGTAATTTGTTCCAGTCATCCATAACGCTCACAAGTACTGACCTATCTACGAAAGATGTATTGGATATTGGAGGAACTATATCTATTGGTATATAGTGACACGTCTGTCTCGTATTTGTGTCTCTTTTTAACGTAATTAGGCTTCTTAGGTAGGAAGGCGACTGATTGTGTATGATTTTATGAATTAAATTTAATTAGAATATTGAATTACTTGCTTAACAGATGGTATACCGAGCTCAATTTATAACTTTTCGATGCACGTACCACGATACTCTCCGGATATAATCAGAAGTTTTGAAGGCTTTGCATCGATCAACATTAGCTTGAGTTGTATTACTATATAAGACCAGCCCATACTCCATAACGACCAAAATATATGATAAGTATATTTCTCTAACAGCCGGTCGTGCCAATGTCGTTCGCAAAGCTCTTAAGATGTTCATTCTTTTACTTAATTTGTCTATTATGTAATTTATCTGTTCGTTCCAAGTTAAGTATTGATCCAAAACAAGTCCTAAATATTTATGAGGCTTGATGGCTTGCACCATCTTGAAGTACCTGCATGAGTAGCAGTCGTGTTCTCAATCAATGTACTGATTTCATCTGTCTTTACTTGTATCTGTAGATCCCAGTCTTTCGAGTGCTCTTCTAACAGAATTCGATTATGAGGTTTTCCAGTTCGTCTATAAAGACGCAGAAGACGGCTTATTTTCCGTAACATTCGTCGTATATTATTGTCTAAATACGGAGATTTCTTTTTTGAAGCTTGCAGCATTTTTTGTGGTACATGTTTCTGAACTAAGTCCAGAAATTTGTTTGTCCATGTCTCAAAAATAGTTTCTGGATCAGTGTGAATATACGAAGTAGTCCAATCAGTCTGAAATATAGCTATCACAAGCCCGCCCCAGTCAGCTTTTGCATAGTCCCAAACCTTTTGTTTTGTCTGACGTTTACTATTTATACAACTTAGTGTCCCTCTGACAACATGATGACCTAAATGGTCAACATTGCTTGCAAGCAGAGGAATATCTACTTGTACGTTAGTACACAGATTCTGAGTATTGATAAGAATTAAGTCCAGCATTGAGTGTTGTGTTTTAGACTAATAATACGAAGATTCAGAGACGAGTTGAACAAGACTATTTTGGGCACAAAAATTAAGTAGTGCAACACCTTCTGATGTACCAGTGTCTGAATGATGTAATTTGCTATGTTTAGAATTGAAGTCACCAAATAGACAATAAGTCGCTGGTGAGCGAAATGTGTCAACACACTTTTGTAGATATGTCAGTAATTTAGTCACAATAGAACTTATTGGGTGATGAATAGACTAACGCAAAGTATAGGTGTATTTTTTGTGATAGAGCGTTGCATTCTTCATCGGCAGCATTTTTTAGATCACCTGGTGATGTTGGATTATTATTTTTTTATCTTCTCATTGCCAATATTCCATATTAGCTCAATGGGATTAAAATTAGAATTATATCCTGGCTATTCACATAGTTCAACGATATTTCCCTGATAGCATTGGTTAACTGAGCACTTCTACGTAATTTCACTTTCTCAGAAATATATGAGAATTTATTCAATTTATGTGCGTTTGTACACAATGTTTCATTTACTGTTTCAGAATTAGGCATGCAACAAGTTTTTTTCTTATTTTTCAAAAAATGATTGTTTTAACTGCCGGGTCATTCTATCAAAAACGTTTTTTAAAGAAACCAAGCAACTTTAAAAATATCTGCTATATGCCATCTTGTAGAGAAATGTTTGCTCTACAAAACTGCTGATTTCAGAAAATTTCACAGTTCGTTATTGCGAAAACCATTTTTTGAAAAATACGAAAAAAACTGTTGCATGCCTATTCATAATACGTACTACTTTTTGTGATACTCAAACAAACACACGAAGTTAAGAGAATTTGCAATCATTTTGTCGTTGGTGGTTAAGTTGATATCTTTTATCGCAGCTAATCCAGTTGTAGTTAGCGGAATTATAATTGATAAGTGATGTTTAATAAAATTCTTTCAAACTCTAATGTCTACTTTTCCTTTGAATATACCATTCTCGCAGCTTTCTATTGTGTTATCCTTTTCCAACCATTACTGTAGATAACATAGATTAATACTTTACTGTCGACTATAAATGTTGTCTACTACTTCAGATAATGAAGCGAATCAACAATGGTTTTGGCCTGTAATGGGTGTTTGTTTCGCCGTTCTGTTAAGCATTCCATGTAGTTTTATCGTTATACTTTTGATATGTCAAAAAAAATATTTTTTTGACGATGACTCATCAGACGCGAATAGTGATAGTCATTCACAAAGTCCTAGTTCGCGATCAAGTCGAGCAAATGAACGCTTTATTATCAATGGTCGGTATCGCACACCGCCTCCGTCTTACTTGCCAAACTATGAAAATGATCCACCCATTGGATCTCCTCCTCCGGCCTACTTACAAAGTACTTCCCTTTGGGAAGAAAGTTTGGGAAGCATGCCATTTACACTCACGGTTGCTCAAACTCGTTCATCAACAGGAGTAATAGTACAACAAATTCAAGCTGAGAGTATTCAACAAGTTCAACAAATAATCACACAGTTAGAACAACAAAATAGTACTAAGTTAGAAGAACTAAGTACTATAACTTTGAATAACTCAGTCTCGTCTTACCAAACAACACATGAAGGTGAATTTAAAACAAGCGAAGGAAATAATAAAAATTTATATCAGATTTTACCTATTCCACACAATTTTCAACATAATGTATCAATACTAAGTAGCACTAACTTTTCAGACATATCAATGGAAACATTTCAAGTATAAACTGTCTAAATTATGATCGCTGAAAGTGTATTCAGATAATACTAGAAAGTAGTTAAACGGTCATTGATTTTTTGTACATCGATCTTCTTTCATTTATCAAACAAGAGAATGTAAAAAACTGTTAATGAAAATAGAAAACAGAAGAAGCAAGTAACAAAACAAGACAAAAAAAATACATAAATATTACATAAATGTCGGGTATGATCTATTGGCTTGACTGTTTTCACTCATGCTGTAAGGTTGCAATTTATATAATAGTTATAGACTAGTGTATGAGACATAAATGATGTAGTTTTCTCGGAAAAACATATTTGTAATGTTTATTAAACTAAGAAATAGTGTGGAAAAAAAAAGAGAGAGGCCCATTTTGAAATAGATTCTCAACATTAGAAAAGCGAAGTATCGATTTGCATATATATATATTTTTTTCTACAAAAAAGCACTAACATCAAAATCACATTCGTCTCCGAATAACTATTTGGTTGTATGTTCACAAATATCAGTTAGAAGTAATCCGACCATACAGCACCTTGCTAGTATAATAAGAAGAAATATTGGGTTTCATAAGAACTAAATACAAACGCTTATTCTTAAATATTGCGTGAAAATAATGCAGGATCATCATCTCAGAAAGCTTGAATAAAATCCAAACATGTCCATGATTGTAACCAAATTCATTTTTGAAGTATGCTAAAGCCTTTTACAAATAGATTAATAACAGAATGTAGCACGAAGAAAATGAACACAAATACACGCAGGAAATATATATTGATTATTTTAGCTATTCAGAGATAATTGAGCAAAACCGTACAATAATTTATCATCCGGAGTTTGATTTGAATCGACACTTGACTTCTAAAATAATAATATGAGTGATAATTAGTTTATTAGTAAAATAAATTTCTGAACAACTTACGAGAGCAAATGTGGCTGAACCAAGAGCAGAATTTTCTACTAGACGTGTCATATTGCAGGCAACTATTTAAAACAATAAAAAAAAAGTGATTTTTATATTTTAAATAGATGTTTTTTTCTTTAATTCTTACCATTAAGCGTATCTCTTTCATCTATTAAACTAGCTGAAACCATTTCTTGTACGACTTCTTCCACACTTTCGCTTGTTTTATTAAATTCAAATTTGATATCATGCAAATCTCCTTGCTGATTCCTATGATAAGATATAAATTTAGTAATAGATTTGAAGGTTTTACGATATATTTGATACCTTATACGTAACGTTAATTTCAATATTTTATTATTTGCATTAGATACTTCGTTGTTTGCAGTTAATGTTTCGTTTTGCCTAGTCAATACACCATTCTTGTCTTCAGAATTAGTCTAAGAATAGAATTTATTCTCAATTATTTATTGTTCATTCATCTGATTGCAGCGTGATTTTTTTCAAAGCATTCATTCATTTACTCTATTTTTTTTTCTTACTTTTTTATTTTCTATTAAATTCTGTGTAGTTGTTTGCGTATCGCTGCTACTTTTTGCTATATTCTCAATGCCTTTCACCGTTTGATTTTCTAACTGTCGCAATTTTGCCGTATTATCGTATGTGGCTGTATTATCATTATTATCGACTTCATCATCCGAGCCACTACTAAATTTCCATTCACCACTATCACTCATTCGTATATTTCTTATCGATGCTGGTTTACGTCGGCTGACTATTTTTTCTTCCATTTTTTTTCGATCTTGGATACGTAATGCCAAATATTTTGCTATATAAGAACGATCTTTGGCTTTTTTGAAAAAATCATGTTTTAATAATTGTTTAGCTGTAGGTCTTTCATGTGGATTTTTTTGTAAACATTGTTCAATCATACGACTAAAGAAAAAAATTGGATCATAAAATGGCAAGCGTAAAATAATCATTCATCAATTGGCATGAGACGTTCTTCATGTAATAATCTGTGAAAGAATGTACTCAAGTTTTACTGTAAACATTAAACTGGAAAATGTAAAATTAACCATATTACCTGAATGTTTTACTATATTGCTTGTACTGATCACGATCTTCTGCACAAATATCTAATGTTGGTGGATCATTTTGTAATGTCATTATCAACACCTGTCAGAAGAAGAAAAAAGTCTTTAGATTGTATAGGAAATGTTGCCAATGACTTACTTTCATGGGAGGAAATTTATGGTAAGGCGCTGTGCCAGTTGCTAATTCAATAGCTAAAATACCAAAACTCCAAATATCGGCCTTCGTATCATAGCCAGAAGGCTATAACAAAAATTTCTCGTAAAAATATGCGCTAAATATCAAAGTTTCTAATTTAGTCGTACTTGTTGTTCCATCACTTCGGGAGCCATCCTGAAACAACAAAAACGTATTCATTAAAACGTAAAAGGAAAATTTTGATAAAAAATTAGTTTGCATACCAGCACGGCGTTCCAACAAATGTATGTCGTTGTTTATCTCGTGTAATATCGCCACCAGACGCAATAAAAGCACTTACACCAAAATCTGCTATTTGAACTGAACCATCTGTTCCAAGAAGAATATTTCCTGCTTTGATATCACTGTAGAAAAAAAACGATTAAAATCGTATAACGATTTATTTGTACAAGACATGTTTCTTACCGATGTATATGTCCATTTGAATGAAAGTATTCCAGACCTTTTAAAACTTCTTTCAATACCGTAGCAATGGCAACTTCATCTAATACACCATTCCGACAATTTTGTTTATGCATCGTATAACGTATAACATCAAGCAATGAACCTACAAAATATTAACAAAAAGATATTTTTCTAAAACTCTTTTCTAATGAAATTACTAGCCTCCATCTAAAAGCTTCATTATTAGCCAAAGTTCTTCACCAACAACGAATGATGTATAAAATCGAACAACATTTTCATGTTGACACTGACTCATTACTTGTATTTCTTTCTGAAAAAAATAATATCTGTTCTACACTAACAGATAAGAAATCGATAATTATACTACCTACCAATAATTCTTCTAGTGATGTATTGCATCGGTCAAGATTTATACGTTTCACAGCAACTCTGTCTCTTGTTTTTTTTACTGCTGCCGCTTGCACAACCGCCGTAGCACCCCTTCCTTTAACACAAATAGTAATTTTAGCTAACAATTTTTGAACAAAGAAAATTCATCTACCAATCGCTTCTTCCAGATCATAGTCATCAGCATTATTTGGCCATTTCGAACGAGACTCGTGATGCGAATCAAAGCCGTCGCCCATAAATACCTTCAAAACAAAAATGTATTTATATTCTAAGAGGTACAAACAAACAATCAATATATTATGCACTTACTTTGATTATCGAACAATAATGAATGAAAATAATAAATTTTTTAATTCGACTCACACAAGCTGTCGATAAAAAATTTTAAATTAATTATATACTGTAACAACTAATCATACGAAAGAATTATAAATCAATCGAAAGTGGATAGTGATAATGGCTAAAATAGAACACCTGTAAAACATCTTTGTTTAGAATAAATATTTTTTTATGTCTGTTTTAAAGGACACATCTGCTTAATTGTTGTTTGTTATCCATAGTAGAAAAAATCAAAAAAATAGAACAGTTTACCTATGATAATGACAATGAAAACATACTAAATTCTTCACAGATTACAAAGTACACCAAAATATCGTTTTATGTCTGTTCTAGAAAAAGAGAGAGACAACAGTGTTGTCATGATAGTTCAGGTGGAGTATAAAAAAGTTTTCAGTTAATCGACAAAATCGTTAAAAAACTGCTAATTTTATTCATGCATACCGCGAGAATTATAAAGACAGATGGTAAAAGTGATCCATATAATAGTCTTCAACGACCAGATTCATATAATACGTGATTAGTGCCACTAATGAAATACGCTTGACAGTGAACTCCATGGTAGAGAAAAATACGGATTATTTGCCATAACTTCTGTCGTCCTCAGAATGTATTATGAGGTAAACTATTCTCGATATTTAGTAAGTGATTTGATTCTAGAAGTGTGCATGCGTTGAAAAAGAAAATTTTATCTACTGTATTCTGCTTTAAACAAAAATATCTTTAAAAAAATAAAATGACGAGTGCAAAAATTACTCTTCAGCTGTAGTTAGAAGGAAATTTTCGGAGCACAAGTTAAATATTCAAAACAGAATACATGACATAGAAAGGAATGAAACACGTCGGCAAATCGATCCCTCTTGTTCGCATTGCATGTAATAAAAACAAGAACGCTACTGATCATCAGGCGAATCAGCTGAGAAGCATACTGATTTCTGATTGGATTGAGAGAATTGCGAGTAAAATTTGAGAAACAACTAACTCAAAGTAGTTGTCGCTAATCCAATGTCTGCAATAGTATTTCACATTCATTTTCTGACTTAATAATGTCCGTTGCAATGTTATCGTACGCAAGATAATTGGGGAACGACCCAGATCGAGCGACATAGTCATAGAATTGGATTTGTCGATACTTCTGCCAGGTTGGACCAGTAACAATTTGTTGACTACTCATGCATGCGTTCTTTACCAAGTCTCTAAAATTCTTAGTCCGTTCAACATAAAGTACGTTGTGGTTGAAGCTTTTATGCATCGCTTCTACAAACGGAGAACATGATAGAAGCGCTAGCTAGCCACTGTTACTAGTGTTTATGTGGAGTGCCTTAGTTTCTATACAGTTTCAGTTTTGTATGGAAAAACCGTACTCATCCCAAAAGTTTGACTGAATTAAGCGAACGGATATGGTGGTAAATCCTCTATCTTTTCGTAAATCGATTCTGACTAGTGAGGTGACACGTTCGCAATATTCTTGATCTGTTTAACTTTTCTTAACGTGGTGTGAGAACGTTGGTTTAACTTTCATAATTTCTTATAAAATCTAAATTTGCGTCAACGCATCTCTAGTTCTAACATTGTTTTAGATGTTCTGGCAATCGATAACCCCGTTTTTTATCGTATTAACCCTGACATTAAAGTCTACATTGGGTTATTATGCCACTGTTGATGCTCATTCTGAAGAATGTTTTTTTGAAAAGATGACATCTGGAACAAAAATGTTATTGATATTTGAGGTCATAGAAGGTGGATTTTTGGATATTGATGTTAAGATAACTGGTCCGGATAATAAAGAAATTTATAAAGGTGATCGTGAATCAAGTGGAAAATCAACATTTTCAGCACATATGGACGGTATTTATACGTTATGTTTTGGTAATCAAATGTCAACTATGACACCAAAAATGATTATGTTTTCGATGGATCTTGGCGAAACACCAAAACTCGATGTGGGGGGTGTACAAGGCGCCGATAATGTGACGCGTTAGTAAAAATGAAATAAATTCCATACGATATAATAGTTTTCTTTTTTTTTTATTATAGTCCATCACAATAAACTTGAAGAAATGGTTAATGAACTATCCGCATCATTAACAAATGTGAAACATGAGCAAGAATACATGGAAGTACGAGAACGTATACATCGAGCAAGTAAGTCTAATCTTAGCAGAGATGAACGTATTGTAGTGATGCAAGCAAAAATGGCAATTGTCTAGCGGACTTAGTCACAATAGCTAAACATGTTGTGATGATTGATATTTGGCAACAGAATCATGTGAATCGATAGCTAAAGTGGAAATTTGAGAGAGAATGGTCATTGAATTGATTCTACTTCTTATAATAGCAAGATTTACAAGCTCAAAAATTTTATTTGTTTTTTAGTTAACGAAAACACAAATACACGTGTTGTTATGTGGTCATGTTTTGAAGCATTCATTCTATTAGCAATGACATTTGGTCAAGTATATTATCTAAAACGTTTCTTCGAGGTTCGTCGAGTAGTTTGATGAATAATACAGTAAATTATGCCATACAGACAAATCATAATTCTATGTTTTGATTTTATTTCGAATATCTTATGAGTTGCATCGTTTTAAATGAAAACAGTCAAGTTCAGGTTCGCCTGTGGATACGCTAGATTTCTTCAATATTTGCATCATTGTTCTTTAGTATTTTTCTGTTCATTGTTTTTTGATAATTACTGTCTCACTCATTTTCTCTAGTTTTTCGGGTCCCATTGGTTTTCATCTTCCAAGGAAATATTCATCAAGGTTTCCAGTTGGTGCAAGATTTACTATTATTTTCCTCTGATAAACCTGTTAGCTTACTTTTCTCATCAATTCAAACAGTTTGAGGAAAATACGGTACTATTGTAGACAATTACAGACAGTTGTTCAGTTATCAGTCTTCCTATTCTTAATTTTACTATCATTTTCTGATATATGTTGAGTTAAGTATGATAAAATACCGAAATACAGAGTTTTTATGCAGCAGCATATAATACACCGACATCTCATTATTCTCACTCAGTGATCCATATTCTTTTATTTTAATTATTCTTTTTTCTTTATTCCGCTTTTTCCTCATTTATTATTCTTTTTCTCCAAAATTCGTATGTGCTCAACTTACTACCAAACTGTACTTCATGAGATGGTATCATTACCTTAAATGAGTATAGCTATGCCCTAGTAATAAACTTTCCTTTTCCTCGGTTATTCTATCACCCCTAAGATTTTATAAGCAAAATACGAAAATTGCGATAGTTGTTGAAGTTTCAGTTAGCTTCATTTAATGGAATGACTGTTTGTCGATCCGTCTGTCTGGCAAGGGATTCACGTTCTCTTTTACAATCTTCGCTTGAGCGTAGTTACCTTCTAGTTTCGATTGTGTTTTGTCTTTCTGTGAAAATGTTTTGTTTTTCTTTTTTGTTTACTACAGTTTTTTTCTGTTATCACTGAATAAATCACTTTTTTTCAATGACTACTATGAATTCATTGTTACGTGACATTTACTGGATAATAGCAAGATATGTTTGTACAAATTCAGAATAGTATTATAAATGACTAGCGTTTTCCAAAATTAAAAATATTCTCAATCAAAGAACTTTTGAACCAAAAATATTTTCTCCAATGTTTCTACTACCTACCCGTGATAATCAACAAAAATTAGTTTTGAATTGGACTATTTATTTGCTTTAGTATTTGTTATCAACACTATTTGATGGAAACAAAAAAACATTTTGGATGAGACAACCAGTAGTTCACTTTTATACTGTTTGTGTTTGCAAAGTGTCTTTTTCACGTTTTCGTTTGATTAGTTGGAATGTTTGCAACTTAGGAATTGTTGTAATCGAATTTTCGCCAAGAAGATAAGTATCGAAACTTAATCATGAATTAGATGACTTTTTAATTACGAAAACAGTAATCTTAGATATGAATTATTGAATCTGTTTAAGTTTTTTGAGACAAATAAAAAATTAAAACATCGTTCCACAAAGCGTAAGAACATTGTTCGATTATCTATTAATGTCGAATGCCTTTCAATGTATTGACAAGTTTATCAAACGCTTCTTGTGAACGATTTCGTTTCATACCCATAGTGCTTCCACCTGTAGGGGGTGTTGATCCACTGCCCACATGTTGTGTTTGTTTGTCAGATAGACGACCATTTGTGACGAGTGTGAGAAGTAATCGTTTAATTTCACCCTCTTCTGCTTTATTTTTAATTGTTTGTTCTAATGATTCATCAAATAATTTCCAATATTCTAATGCACTTTCATGTAGATCTTTTTCTGCATGACCAATAATAATTCGAATTAACGACGTGTAGTCTATGGGAGATTCATTTAATGCTTTGTGTAATATATTTGCAAAATAGGCGGCTGGATTTCTTGTATATTGTACTATATCTTCGAAACTATCTCTTTCAATCTGCTGTTGAAATTCTTGATTAATAGGAATACTGATCGATTTCCCATATTTATCTTCATAAACATCAAATATAGCTGATAATTGAGAAAAACTATCCAATGTAAATATTTTAATAAATGTTTCATGATCTAGTCCTGGAGTTCCTTCACCAGCTTCATACAAACGTTTTGCTATCATTTTGGCTATTGTTACACTATGACTTATTTGTTCACTTCGTTGTCCTTCCAACATTGCTAATAATAAATCACGATAAATTGTTGTTGATGTTATAACATTTTTCACATCATTTTCGATAGTACAACCGTAAATCTGTTCATAATGATCTTTGAATTTTTTCAAATCTGCGTTATTCAGTGTTAACAATATTTCAACTAGTGAATGATGGTGTTTTGTATAGCTGCTCTGTAATAAATCGTGAAAATTTCTCGCATACAACTCTTCCGATTCCAGTATCAATGCTAATGTGCACGCTCGTAGTGGTGTATCTTTTTCGGCTTCTAATAAATCAACCAGTCTGTATTCATGTTCAAATTCTAATTCTCTTACTAAAATTAAACGTTGTTCACTATTGAACGAGGATAGAAAGTGTAAGATGAATTCTATATCAAGTGTATGAGCGACATTACACTGTTTCATTATTTTGTATAAGCTTCGTGTTTCACGTTTGTAATCAAAATCAAACGAATGATTAAATGACGCAGCCGATGTTTGTCTCTACAAAAAAAATGATTTTGTTGGGAATTTGGTTTAGATTTGACCTTTATTACTCAAAATATTTAATTGACATTGTTAAATCACATCACGTAATACACGTCTAAGAGCTAGACAAAATATGTCGATTGTGAGAGAATAGAAAGCGAAATTAAATAAGCACATCTTTGAGCCCTGTATGCCGACCTTCAGAGCAGCGCGAGGGTAAAATAATTTTTTTGGCAAGTAACAGGAGGCTCAGAATAAATGTTTCGTTCAGTATTTTCTCAATATCTCTGTCAAGGTTAATCGCCAGGTCTCAATCTTTTTTACAAAAGATTCCTCATTCGATTCTCTGCACAAAACATATTAAACATTTCTTTATATACTATAAGAATAAAAAAATATAGAGAAAATATGGGAAAACTTCAATATCGATTACTTTCAAACCCAAAGCGATCCCAAAAAATATTTATTTTGAACACGGTGCTATGCATCAAAGTGGAATCGAAATGTATTTTCTGATGCTTCGGAATGTCACATTTCTTTTCTTATATCATAAGTTTTTCTACCACGAACGAACATTTTACTAAAAGTAAAATAAAGGGAAAATTTGATTTCTTCGCCTCGATACAGGAAACGAAATGGGACTATTCGACTTTCTCTGTTCGGATGTAACAGAAGAATTATTTTGCTTTAAGATAAACTAGATCTAAAGTCACAATATATGATTCACAAATTTTCACAATGCGCGTCAAAACTGCAGTTAGAAAATGATGATTTGGGGCAAAATTGCTAAAAGAAAAACAACCCTTCTGCGACTACTTGAGCCTATGAAGAGTTTTAAATATAGCCAGTTGATAGAGATTTTCGAGAACTACAAAACGACCATTTTCTCTTCTTTTATATCGCAAAATATAAGGGACTAAAATTGAAAAACCTGTTTGTTGGGTTTGAATGTAACCGATATTGAAGGTTTTCCGTATTTCGTCTATATTCTTTTATTCTTATAGTATATAAAGAAATGTTTAATATGTTTTGAGTAGAGAATTGAATGAGGTTTTTCTTAAAAAAAAGATTGAGACTTAGCGATCAACCTTGATCGAACTATTGAGAAAATACTGAATGAGACATTTATTCTGGACCACGCATTATGTTCACAGATCGAACGACGACGGCGCATTAAAAATATCGTAGAATGCACTGAAAATTTGCACCAATATCAAGAGGGAAATAATCATTGGTTATTACTACATTATTAAGTTTTCACGATGAGAAAAAAACGGATTATCCATGCAAAATTATAGTAACCTGTCCTGGCATACAAGAGTTCGCTTTATCCTTCTGTCATAATCAAGAAAGTTTAAGGTGCCGGAACAGCAAAACTATAGCAGTCTTTTTTTTGTCGATATTATTGCATAGAAAGATGCGCCTTGTCGTGCTGATTCTAGAACTGTGTCGGGTGTGGAGATATCTTCTTGTTTCCGGTCAGGCGAGGCAAAAAACTGAAGAAAATGCTTTTTGAAGAAAGAGAGCTTTCAAGA